AAGTGTGAAACTAGTACGATTTCAGTACATACCCTAAGTTCGCTATTAGTATACTTTCAGTATACTGATTTTGAACGACTTTTCGCTAAGGGAGGGCACGCGGAGTCGACGGCCCGAGCTGTCCCTGCGTAGAAGGCACCAGCAGAGGTCACTGGTGCACATATATGTGCACGTTACTTAAATTAAGTAACTAAATACCGATACTTAACACTCACTAAAAATAACTAAGTACTGTCTGAAGTGAGATGGCGCAAGCGAGCTGGTTAGAAAACGGCTTGTTGCTGCTATTAAAAAAAAAAAAAACGCTTTCCCTCAGCTTGAGTGTAACGCACTATTTTCTAGTTACTCTGTATGTATTGTTTCTTTGAAGCAGTAGTCGCTTCTAATATTTTAGTCTGTACAAGTTTGCTTGTGCACTGTTGAACAACGAGCTTTGAGGGGCTCCTTGTGTACATGGCTGCTTCAGCCTTCAGCTTAATAGGGACACGAGTGTTACTTGGTTCTCTCTCAGAGCACTCCCTGCTACCTTTTTGGAATCCTTACTGGCCATAATGCCCAAACTAACGTCAGTGAAAGTCATTTGTAGGCACTAAAAGCACTTCACGAGAGCAAGCTTGTTTTTATTTGACGCTATCACGGCAAAATTATCCCCTCGTTGACCTGTACACATATTACATAAATTATCGTTTTCGCCTCTTTGACGTGCAAGAACCTCCTCAGGTTGGTTCTCACTTTCTGCCCCCCCCCCTCCCCCTCCCCCCCCCCCCCCTCCCAGTTTCTGTCTAAAGAAAAAATTGTATGCAAGCAAGAATAACGTCCGAGCAATAAGGATTGACGTTAACAATATCTCTCCACCCCCGCCCCTCCCCCCTTCCTTAAAAAGTGGCAGCATCATATATGACACTAGAAAACAACGAAATACAAAGAAGCACATCGACGCTGAATTTAAAACTAACCAGATCGGAATTCCAAGAATCGGTGGGCGTGTGAAGTGGTAGATGACTCCGGAAACGAAAGCGACGACCTCACGCACAATTGTCATCAGGTTGTCAAGCACCACCACCTGGTTCATGTCTTTTCCTCAGCACTGTAACTCGCTGGTCAGCCGGAATATCAGCGACGACACGGGCAAGCATAGGGCAAGACACCTGAGGATCCTCTACAAAGTGTTCAGCAAAATAAGCGTCTTGTTGCCGCCGGACACGCGGATGGACACAATGGCCATCGCGAAGACAGTGCCGTTCGTGATCACAGGAGTCGAAGACGTCGGCAGGATAAATTTTCCGAAAACAAGATGGCCGAACCTTTCTTTCTCTTGGGATTGCAAATTGAGGAAGGAAGCCGTTATCTTGGTCCTGCGTGTAGATAATGTTTACAAGGACATGGCTTCATCAGCGGGACAACCGGACACGTACAAGCCAAATGTTCCTTGCTGACAACCTTCTTTCTACGAGAAAGCGCAACCAAAAGAAATTAAATAAGATGTGAGTGCCTCTGCAGCGAAAGATTGATCTACTGTCCAGATACGGCAACACTGGCGTATGGACTGTTGGGAAAAATTTTAGCCATTGCTGCAGGGCTGCTGGCCGGAAGTTCTAACGCGAATCTTGCAACATCAATTACATAACCACACGCCGGAATACTGCTCATGCAAATTGAAATGGGAGGGTGTGGGAATTGAGCGTCATAAATTATTCATACAGACATAAAAATTAACATTTTCGTTAAAATGCTCTACATGTTTTTTTTTTTTTTTTTTCAAATTTAAAAATTGCAAAAAAATTCTTAAGCAATTTTTTTTTGGTGGAGTTATTGGTCATTGCATGTTTTCCTTGGTGGCAAGATCAGTAATAAATAACGTGTGGGCCTCAGGGCGGGTTAGGAAATCAAACAAACCAATAAAACTCGATGATGGCAGATATACATGTGGGGTAAAAGAGGCGCTCTAGTCACCTGACACCAAGCGAGGGATGAAGTGTTTTGGCACAAGCAATGAACACGTGACCGTGTCCGCCGGCATTGGGCAAGACAGACTCCGTGAGATCAAGAACCAAGTCGTGGACGCTATGCTTCGTTTCACCGCGACTTGACAAAGAGCGAACGCTACGGCCCCTTCGAGGCAATCAGAGTGACGGATCGGCAAAGCACGTGACAGCCGTTGGCGTGCTTGGACAAGAGCGTCACCCGAGCAGTTTGAGAAGAGGGGAGGGAGTAAGACTTCGCTTTTCTCTCCCTAAAAGATTAGCCCGCCACTCAAAATTCGTACAAAATCGGCTTTCCCCTTTCTCTCCCCCGCCCGTGGCTTTGGCAGCAGTGCGCGAAACTAATGATATGGAGTACAGTCACTTGTCTCCCTCCGACATGCTGACTGGGCCACTGAGACCTTATAACCTTCGCCGTTCGCCAAGTAACGGTGAGACGGTACATAGTGCACGCGAACTCGAGGTGGGACATGCAAAACAGTGGAGGACGCGTTGATGTTTGCACCAATCGATGTCTGCCCATTCGGCACTCATTAAAGCGTCTTCAATTATTTACTGCACACTTTCGCTTTCGCCAGCTTTATAGATCCATGCCGTGATATTTGAGCACGACAACAGTCTGTAGGTTGATTTTGTTTGTTTATAGTGGGAGCCTTTGCTGGTCAAGTGACAAGGGTTAAACATTATCAAGCTGACAACACGTAAAATATATAATGTTACCCCCTTAACTGATTTGGACGAGCGTCGTGTGAGTTCTACTGATGCCTATTGTGATAGGCTGGATCGCGGATCGAGGTCTTTCTTTCTGAAGTCGAGTGACACCACCGGCAGCCATTTGCTTGGCACCAACCATTGTATGGACTCTATGGAAAAACGAGAATAAGTGCCGTTTCCCCCGTTTCTAAGCTTCTGTCGGCAATGAAACTTTTTGGCTGCTTTTCAGGAAGCCTGCCGAATGGATTGTGCACAAATACTAAAACTGACAACCCTCAAAGCTTTCAGAAATAAATATTTTTTGGTCAAGAGTGACCCCACTGGCCGAAAAACGTGGTGCATGCAGTCAATGAGACATGAGTTACCTAGAGTTTACCGAGGAGTCGGTGGCGGTTTCGATTGATTTGGTTTAGCCCACGTCAAGCTTGGAGGCTTTATTACGCGGAGTTCGGGCTCACTTCCGAAAGGCCGCTCTCATCATGAGATTTTATCGACATTCATAAACTTCTGGGCTTCTCCGAGGACGGTCATATTGACGCAAGTTCCTTTGTTAAGTACACTGAGAGCAAGCTGGCCAGCTCAGCCGTGTGTGCTCTGGCACGTTTGATTTTTTAATGGGGCGTTCGAATGCTTCACAAATACCCATTCGATCTCCGAAATAATGATCGCAGCACATCATGAAATATTTGCCTTCCAGCACCGCGTAGAAGTGTAGAATATTCCTACTTTCGTGTGTTTCCCCCATAGACTTGCGTAAAGTGCCTGAGCGGTGCCACCGACGTGCTCTACAGCGGGAACAGCGCACCCTCCAAACAGTCACCCAAGTTCACACACACAAAAGAAACACATTACAAAGCGTAAGTGTCTTCTTTCTTTTGTGTGTGTGGACTTGAGGAGCAGTTTTGTGGGCGCGTTGTTCCTCTTCTTCACCATGAGCAACGAACTCCCCCGAACCTCTGTGTTAACGGACGGGCTCTCGATCCGAGATTCAGCGTACTAGAATAAAGATCAATAATGCTTTCCCAGGTTCACACACTCAGCCGTTTTGGACGAACCAGTCTCGCTCACGGCTTAGTTTGCGGCTCCACCAACAAATGGCAGCGCTGAATATTACAGCGGAGCTGTTAAGGGCTAGTTTCCCCAGTTTCGTGCCCGTGGACAAATAAATCTCGACACAACCCTCTGGACAGCTACCGCCATCTATGAGCGAAGGCGGCAACAAGACATGGTTGTCTTGTTGCCGCCTTCGCTCATAGATGGCGGCTCATAGTACAACTCCGCTGCTCTTCCTTTTCCACCAGAATGGAAAAAGTGAGTTTTTTTTAATCATTTCTATTTTGTTTGTGGCTAAGAACTTTAATATGAAGGCGAGAAATTCAAATTTTGAAGCGAGCAATAGTTGTGGGTCAGAAATTCTCCAAAGCTAAAAACGCTTAGGGGATTAAATTTAATGTAAATGATTATAAAAAGGCCGAGTGGTCCGTTTTGTTAGGCAGGAAAATGATAGGTATTTGTTGAGTAGAAAATAGGCAATGAGTATCGATGTTCTACCACCGACAGAACAAAACGTTTCTGGCGAATCGAATAAAAAAATGCAGGAGGACGCTTAGCTTCGCCTTTATTAAAGCCCCTCTATCCTGGAAAAAGTGGCGCCATTCATTGTAGTGGAAATTCTCAGGACACGTGCCGCGCGCCATTTCTGGGTTCTGGGCAGAATATGGCGTCTGAAATCCGGTGCTGAAATCTATACTCTGTTTCACCTTATGATGTACCGCAGGAAAGGCTACAAGCGCGAGCTCCTTGCTCTGGGGCAATTTTCGGCGGCACAAGCTCTCGTGACTTAAGAGCGGCTGCCAACGCTATGACCTCGAGCTTCTAGCCTTCACTGCGGTACAACATAAGGTGAAACGAAGTATAGCTCAGTGCTGCGTTGTACCGCCATGATCTTCTCAAGGGCTGCACGTTGCACGCGCCTCGTGCTTCGACGCACCTTGCGCTACTTTTGGAACATGAAGGGGCTTTAGCCTTTATGGTTTATAGTTAAATATAACCCCCGTTCGTATCTTTATGGGTGTAACGGGATAGCTATACTCCGCGACAACTTTTCTTGGCAATGCAGTGGAAGGTACAGGCCCGCGTCCCCTCTCCCATTTTGAGCGTACGCAGGCACTCCTCCTCCCCCATTTCCGGGTAGAGGAGGAGAGCCCGCGCACACTCAAAATGGGAGAGGGGACGCGGGCCTGTACCTTCCACTGCATTGCCAAGAAAAGTTGTCGCGGAGTATAAATATAATCCTCGCCCTTGTATGGCATCGCGGTGCCTTGCTTTCATCGCCCACAGACGAGAAGAACGTCAGTAGGGCCCTGGTAGCTGCGTCTAGCTGTAGCGAGGCCCGAACGACGCATGTTCGGTTGAATTCTTCTGTCTTCGGGTTGACGCCGCGTAAGGAACGGTGAGTTGGTAGAGGACGACGCCGTAGCCAAGCGAGGCGGCCAGCAGACGCACGAGGCACCGGCCTTCGGGTTTGAAGAAACCCAGGGCATCGGAGTAGTCGCGCAACAGTGGGGCCATGTCTTGTCCGCTACCCACGGGCATCCGCTTCCGCACCCCGTTGGTCAGGCTTCCCTCGAAGGCCACGGCTGCCCAGGCCACCAGGACCAGGGTCCACACGCTGTGAACCATCTGGGACGAGAGTGTGTTCGGGCCTCCAAGAGTTTCGAAGATCGACAAATTGGTAGTTTAACCATGCACAGTGCCAAGAACGTGTGTCTGACTGGCGTGTTTAGGGTCCTATTCTGCCCAATCATCGAAAGGAGTCCTGAAGTGGAAACAAATGAAGTCACAGAAGCCAGAGTGTCATGCCGTCGGGTGTCACCACCATCCTGACGGTTGGGTGTATTAGTTCTGGAAATAAGCACGAGAGAACGCGAGTGTCGCTGTCGTCTCGACGCCCCCCTTTCTGGCTGCCCAAGATTTCGTTTACTTTCAAGCTGGATAGCGATCTGCAGTAGGACAGACGACTGCCGCGTCCACCACCGCTGTTGTGACTCCGTCAGGATCGCGGCCTGCAACAGCATGGTATTCTGATGACGTCATCAGGCGGAAATCGAGGGACCAGGTTTGTGGAGGCGGTAAACACACCAGTCGGAGACGCATTCCAGGCAGCATATTGAAAGTTCCTCGTAAATAGAATCCACGGAGGACCACCGCTTGAACGGAGAGCAATCGGTCAGAAGCAGAGCTTGAAAATCTTCGAGATTCACGCCTCCCGCGCAACTCACCTGGAAGATTGAGTAGAGCAGGAGTGCTGACAGCTCTCCTGTGATGTTGATGGAGTGCATGGACTGTCGAAGCGCCACCGTGAAGCCCACGGCGGTGTTGCAGCACCAGAGAAGCAACGGAAACGCGAAGTGTCTGGCCAACCTCCTCCGACGTCTGAACATCGACGTAAGGGAACACCGTGGTTGGCTCAGGAGCTCGACTCGTAGGGCTGCCAGGCCCAGGGCGTATTGCAGAGCCAACCAGGAGATGAGGGCGTTGGCAGCCATAAACCTTTGAAGGGAGGTGGGTGGGGGAAGGGAGAGATAGTTACCGCATATATACACCGACCGGAGAGTATACAGGCGGCTAGGTGCCAACACGCAACCTTGACGTCACGCCGCTGCGGTGGTTCTGCTGTCGGCACGGCGCATGCGCAGAAGCGCGCGCGCAGTGCCCACACCAGGTGTGGCCAAACGCTGACTTGTTTGTAAACAGCGTGTTTGTCTATGCATGGCTTTTATTAACGTCACATCAGCTGCCTCTGTGGTGGCCCTGCTGCCGAGCGCGCATCTTCTGCAGCATCCATCTATAGTCCGTAGCAACTCAAGAAGGCAGGGCGAAATAAAGGAAGGCCGGAGAGAAGGAAGCAGACGGAACGCTGGGGAGGAAGTTTCCCCCTCTCCTCTCCAGCGTGCCGTCTGCTTCGCCCTCCCTGGCCTTCGTTTCCCTCGCCCTACCTTCTTGAGTTGCAACGGAAAAATAGCTTCAACGAATCGTTTTTAGGGCGCTGCTCCTCGGTGCAGATATAGCTGCGTTGGCATCGGCGTAACCGCGCACATTGCATTATGGGTCGTCAAAGACCTATACAACAATTCAATTCCCTGCTAAATTTAGTGGGGAAACTGAGTTGGTATTGATTTAATGTGACGTCAATGTTTTCGCTAACTTTAGTGGCGAAACTAATTTGGTGTTGAGGCCACGTGACGTTAATTTTCTCGCTAAATCTAGCAGGGAAACTGAATATGTATAAAGGTCACGTAAAAAGAAGTCATGTGACGTCACTTTCCCCCTAAATTTAGCGGGGAAACTGAATTGCTGTTGAGGTCATGTGACGTCAATTTTCCCGTTAAATTTGGGGGAAACTGAATTTAAGTCATCTGATATCATTTTCCCCGCTAAATATTGCGGGGAAACTGAATTGGCGTTGAGGCCACGTGACGTAAATTTTCCCGTTAAATTTATCGTGAAAACTGTGACGTCATGTGACGTCACAGGCCACTTCTTCACGAAATCCGGAGCAACTAGCCAAACAGCATTTCACGTTAAAACATACACCGTGCGCGTTGCATTACGGGGCTCCCACCGTAAAAAAGTAGATAGTTAAATACATATTTTTCACATTCTCTACCACGATATATTACAAAATTAAAATACATCAAGAGCTGCGCTCTACTTTCGCGTTACAGATAAGCGTCTGCAATATTTTGACAAGAACAAGTGAGGATGAACACCAGCATCATGCGATGACGTCATGTGCAAGCCATGTTTTTGAACAAGTTGACGAAAGTCGAGATTCCAGAAGACACATATCCAGCAGCTTCAGCTTAAGTTGAACAAAATTGAGTGCCACAGGGAATAGCGGTGTGCACAGCTTTGGTTTGGCTAGGGTCACTCAATAGCTTACGCTTAAGGTGCAACCCCACCCTTGGTTAGTGCGATTCTGAACCAACAGTTGGCGGTGGGATCGCCTTCCAAGCCTGTTCATCAATCTGAGAAGTCGTGTGTGGTGGCGCTTCGATACAGTGGGGTATTTTTCTATATCCTGAATTTGACATCCCTGGTCCCTTGCTTGTTTTTCTCTGCACGACCCTTCTTTGGAACGCGCACAGCTGCGCCAGTTCTCGTGCAAGGGGGCCAGTTGCCTACGCTCCGAGCTCACGTCTCTAGCAAATGTGGGCAGAACGAAACGCGAAAATCGTCCTGAGCCAAATGGCGAGACACGTGCACAGCCAAACCACCGACGCGTTGAAATATATAAAATTGCCTGTGCGCCGTTACCGGAGATTTCAGAGGCCAATTACACATATTTGAATATGATCAGATTTATGTTGACACGAATGAAGGTGACAAGAGGACGAATAGTGAACTGAAAAATAAAGGCTTAATCGGCGAACTTGTGCCAAACAAAAACAAAAATAAGGAAAGAGCGTCGAGGTAGCAGGAAAGCAGGCGGCGATTCGGCAGCGTGACAGAGAGCGAGAGCGAGAGTGACTCGACGAGGTCGCCGGCAGCTGCTTATCTACAGTGCGTCACCATCTCGAAAGTTCGGCAAAGAAGGCAAGGAGCGTCGCGCGCTCGGGGCGAGGATGAAATTGCACTTTCGAGAACAAGAAAACAGGGCGAAAGTTACGCCTGGTGAAAGAATGAACGCAAATCTTCTAGAAGTCCGTGACTGAGCGTTGCTTTCTCGGCTCGGCGGGCGGCAATATGACGGGCCGGCGCTTTTGTCGTGCATGTGTTTGGCTCTTTGTGGATTTCCAGGAAAACGAGTTGACGGAATAGGACTTGGGTGTCAAGTTCTAGCCGAAAAAATTAACCACCTAAAAATAAAAAAAAATAATCTATTTTTGGGTGGTTAGGTGCCTCACTTAGGTAGCTGGGTGTTCATTTTGACCAAAACCACGAGACTGGAAAACACAAAAAAAATGACACTCAGGTTTAGATGTTGAGTTTGGTAAACCCAAAGTAGGGCTGGTGCGGGAGTCATATTAAAAAAATGCCGAGGTTAAAAATTAACTCACAGCAATAAATGATAATAATTAATTATCATTAATTCGTTATTATAATAATTAACGAATTCAGTGATAAATGCAAATGACTGGCCAGGCAAAGATTCTTGGTCTGTGGATAGCTTTTCCACAGTTTAAGCATAGTACAGGATGTTACAAAAAAAAAAAAAAAATTACAGGGTCTGTTTTTTTTACCGCAAGAATAAACTAGGCATCGCCGAACGCTCATTTTCCGCCCGAAGGCGGCGCTAGAGGTCACAACCAGATGTCAAAGTTCAGCCCGATCCGATACATCATTCAAAATTTAAGTTATTTTCTGAAACGTTCATTGGGAAAATGGCGGCCGACAGAGCTTTCGAATACATGCGGCTCTATGGCACCAGAAACCGAAAACGGGCAAAAATGAGCTTCATTTTCCCATTGAAATTTTCAGAAAATCACTTACAACTTTTGAATAAGGTGTCCGTTCGGGATAAAACTTTGGCATCTGGTTGTAACCTAGCGCTACCTTTTGGCGGAAAATGAGCGTTAAACGATGCGTAGTTTGTTTTTGAGGTAAAAAAAGAACTATTTTTTTTTTGTGGCATCCTGTACCAGTCTTAATTTGGTATTTGGTGATTTATGCGCGCAAGTAGTGGTGTGCAAAAATGAAAAAAGAAGCAAACGGGTACAGTTTGACATTGTATAAAATATAGTGTAAGCACTCGCATGGTACTTAAAGGGGTACTCCACCGATTTTTTGGGCTACCTCAACTAACTATATTTTCTGACTCCCCGGCCTTTACTCTCTCCGGTATGCTATTTAGAATCGCGAAATTCATAATAGTTATTGCAAAATGGGCAAATGAAAATGATGCAAAAACCAACATTGAAATATACGCGCGCTTTCAGGGCCGTGACGTCAGTGGCAGGCAGGCTTGCCAGTCGAGCAAGCAGCCAAAAAATAGAATATGCCAGTCATTTGTTCCGTGCTGGAGCGCGGGTACTGCAGCGAGCTTCCCAAGCATTCATTTGACACCATGAAACTGCTTCGAATCAGTTTAAAACAAAATCTACAGCCCAAAGAGTGAACCCCTGCCTTCCACTGACGTCATTTTTTCATTGTTGCCAGTAGAGACTTCGAGCTTGAAAAACACGGTGAGGACCAAAACTGTAAATTCAATAACTTCGCGAAAAAACAATATTTTGACCTAATATTTGGGATACTATTTTTGCGATGTTTGTTGGTTAGTTTAGCAAAATTTCAAGCAAATCGGAGACAATGAAAAAATCGGTGGAGTAGCCCTTTAAGAGTGAAACAGCCCTACATTTTGCACTAACGTTGAGTGTATCGAAAGTTAAGGGTGCATCAAAGGCTAAAGCTTGTACACATATACTGCTCAGGCCATTATGTTTGAAAGCTCATAGTAGTTTATTACCCTCAGATTTAGTGTAAGTCCTCTCCTCATTGCTTACAAAAAAAAGAAGGTAACATTCTAAGCTTGGGTTGATAGGAAAACTTCACCTGCTGACAGCTAACAATCATCTCGGCGCCGATTATGAGTATTCACTGCATTCCGACGGTCGCGTGCCTAGAACGAGCTTTTTCCCACGTGATTTTATGCAATCACAATTGTTCTTGACAAACAACAA